CTGTCATGGTAAAGATACGGGAAAGGAAGGAAAAGAAACAGATCCACTATCTTCCATTATAGCAGGTCGATCATTCCGTATTATATTCCGCACTGCAAATATGTTGAGCCTAAGGCCGCTTTTGGTCGAGCATTTGAAGCGCATCCCTCTTACTATGTATATGTCAATGAGTAGACTCCCTCTTATTGTCCTGGCGATTGTACCGAAAAGGACTCGGTACAATTAGTTCACCAACGAGGCCTCCTGACTTGCAGCCTCCAAGTCTCCCATTCGCGATCAGCCGGGTTTCTTTCCTTTATGAAGATGCCATGATAGCCCAAACCTTTTCTCGCAAAGCCTAGCCATGACTGCTGCTGCTGCTGCTGCTGCTGAGAGGCCTTCTAGCAGACGAGGAATTAGGCCCTCCCTCCCTCCCTGCCTCCCTCCCTTTGTAGGCCATGCCAGAAGTGCGTCTTGTGAGGGTTTGCGATCTCACGATGATCTAATTATGATGAGCGATAATTGCAACGCTTTGCAGATACTGTAATCCACGACCTCGTCGTCCTCCCCGAGCTGGACGATGGTGCCCCGGTGCCGCCCAACGCTTCGAAGATGCCTCGAGCCGCTCCTCCTGCCGCAGTATTCGTCTCATGTAAGCACGTTCTGAGCTCCCAAGGGGATACGATACGAGGCTTTCGAGTCCACTGACGATCTGGGCATGATCCAGCTGCGGGCGCGCTCATGAGTAACCGAGTCGAGGCGAAGCGAGTAGAAAATACGGAGTGTTGCGAATCTACATTCGCATCTGGGAGCAGTGCGGCAGTCAGTCAGTCAGTCTCAAGTGTGGATCAAGCAAAGAACGTGTCAAACCTGCACCTGCGACCTTCTGATCCGACCTTCTGATCGTCTGTCTGAGATCCGGATTCCTTTGCGAGCAGCCAGTGGCATGGCATGGATAAACATCCTTGACCGTGATCGGCACGCATCGAACCTACCTTCCGACCTTCCTCGCCCTTGCCCTTGCTTTCGACTGTCACCTTCAGGACCGAAATCGCAGTTAGAAGCGCCATTCGAATCCAGCCCGACCGCGCCGCTAATTTAGAGAGCGCCGACACGAAGAAGGAGGAAGGTGCGGGTGGGGCCGTGGGGCCGTGGGAGGGAAGCTCCGTCGCGGGTGCGGGTGGACGTTGCTGTAATAAGTAGGGTGCTAAAGAGAGAGCCGACGTATTTGACGACGCTTGAATTCCAGAGTCCAGACAGCGACTGCTCGGTCGGTCGATTACCGACAAGAGGGCGCGGGCAGCCTCGGGCAGATCAAAAAGGTCCCCGGAGATTCACCACGTCAGCGCGAAGCCCACGTGGGAACGCCGTGCGCTGGAAAGATTCTTGCACATGATTGGGTCCGCGGCCTGGGCCGAATCGGGGCCGGCCATGTTGCCCCCCCCCCCCCCCCCCCCCCTTCCAACGCGCCTCATGAACTCGTTCCCCTTTGAGTCACTACCGACTGCGCTCGAGAGAAATCATGCACTTCCGTCAGAGTCAGCCAAGTGCAAATTCCCCGAGCAAATCGTCGAAGCATTGAAATATATCTCTCTGCGGAATGCTCAATCACTCGTCGGCACAATAGCACGAAATGTCTCCCTCCCTCCGTAGGCCCTGCTAAACTCCGAGCAGTCAGTCACTCCAGATGCGACTTGCCCCTCTACTGGGGAAGAGCTGTGGCGGCCCTTGCCTCCTCCCCCTCTGCCATCCATGCCCGAGTCGAGTTATGGAGGGGCCTCTCTGCGCAGTGACGCAGCAGCTGAGGCGATGGCGATGGCGAAAAGAGTACAGATAAGGAGAGAAGTTTGACGTGAAGCTCGAGGGCGAGAGAGAGAGAGAGAGAGAGAGAGGGAGGGAGGGGGTTTCTTCTGTTCTGTCTGTCTATCCACATTGTGTACGTACAGTATTGGACTGTACGTGGATGGCGATTCTTTAGAAAAATGCGGCAGGCGAAGGAGGAATTCGCTTTCTTCTGGAAGACAAAGACATTCATGGGAGACTGGAGGAGTCGCGGGCGAGCATTGATGGTGAGATTCAGTTCAGTTCGGGTCAGGTCAGGGCCGGGGCCAGGCTCCAGATCAGGAGGGCCAGCGGTCGGCGTCGTCGCCAGCCGGGGGAAGGTGGCGCTGGCTCGTACAACTTTGCTTCAAGTGTGCGAGAGCTTGATAGATTCGACGCGACGGGTGGGGGTTGGGAGTTGGGGGCCGGACGGACGCCCATTGCTTACGCTTACGGTCTCTACAGAGCCGAGCGAGAGGTGCCTGTCACTGGAAGGAAATACACGACGCCCGAAATGCTTAGCCCGAAATGCGCTGGACTCAGACAGCAGAGCGCTTAGCTCCGCTTGGACGGGCTCGAGTGTCGGAAGATGTGGAGAGAGCCTCCTTTTCTCCTCCTCTGATGGCTTAGACTCGTGGACTCATGGCTGGGGGGGAAGGGGAGGGGGGAGGTGCTTTCAAACAAAAAGGGGAACAAATTGGGCCATGTCCCCCTGCGCTGCCCTGCAAAGGCTCGTCCACGCCTTTTTTTAATCTTTTCAGTCTACTGTATCTGATTCGATCGGACCGCGTTCATGAATGTGAGAGAATGGCGATGCAATTTGACTCGATCTCGTGAGGCAGTTCTGCTTCTCGTGCTTCTTCCGGCTTCGCGTCCTCGCAAACCCTCGACAGCAGTAACCCCAAAACGGAACAAAAATCTCGGCAGCCAGTCCACGATCAGACAGATGCGAGGCCTGTCGGAATTCCCACGGTGAAAGTGAAGAATCTGTAGTCATAGCATGGTATGACATGATCTGATCTGACCTGACCCGACCTGACGTGACCCTGACTCTGAGTCGTCGTCGTCGTCTTGAATCTGATGGTCTGAAGGCCATAATATAAGAAGGAGGTCCCTAGCAATGGATAAGTTCCGAAAGGGCTGAGGCGTTTGACGTCCTCCTGGGACTACGAGAGAGTGCCCTGCTGACGGTACAGAGTGTACTTCCATGAATGCGGGGTCGGGGTGGGGGTGCGAGAAAAATAAAAGGCAGAATCACCGCCGATGCGCAAAAGAGGATGATGTCTCCCTTCATGGGATAGAACGAATCATGAGCCCGTCAAAGAATCGACTTGTCATTTGTCGAAATGAAGAATAAAATTGCAAGGGAATGTCCGGGACTGGACAGCAGGCAGGAATATATTGGCTATAACTATGGTGCGTGCTTGTGTTGGTGCTAGGGGAGGGGCAAGCCCAGACCAGAGCAGACCAGCCCAGACCAGACCAGAGGCGCCCCTTAGCAAGGGCGAGGGCGAGGGCGAGGAGGAGGTGGGGGAGGAGAAGGAGATCATGGAGGAAGAGGATCTGAAGTTGTAGGAATCTTCACGACTGTCCGTTGAGGAGGCCCCAAAAAGGGCGAATGGCAGATCCGAGCGAAGATGGGGGCCGAGGGAGGCAAGGGCAAAGGCGAAGACAAGCGTCTGGCCGGTACGAGACGACTGTAGATGTACATCGGTCTTGTCTTGGCTGCAGCAGCTAATGCTATGGGGCTAGCCACACTAAACTAGTGCACAGCTCGTCAAGGGGAGGGCGAACTGTACCGAGCAGCAGTGGCCAGCAGCAGCAGCAGCAGCGGCGGCAGCGACAGCCGACCCCACAGAGAACAAATCGCAAGGTGAGAAATGAGAAGTTTAATCACACGCTGCGCGCCTCCACCCCTATCAACAACAACAACAGCAGCAGCAGCAGCAGAAACAACAACAACGCGAACGTAGTTGTCCCAACCGCTTGGCTTGTGTCCCGGCCGTCCCATTCTCCATCTCCATCTCCATCCCCATCCCCCCATCCGCATCCTTCCGCCCCAGCCCTGCTGACCCCACCCCCCGCGAATCGCACAACCAGTGTACATGTACAAATAAGGTCATATACTGGCGTCGTCTGGCTGTCTGTCAGCAGCAGCATCAGCAGCATCAGCAGCTGAGCAACGTATGCCAAATCCTCCAGACTTCGGACCCACACCCTCATTCACACTCTCACCATGTAGATGGACACTGCACTGAATTTCACCACCACCACGACCACCTCTCTCTCTCTCTCTCTCTCCCTCCCTCCCTCCCTCCCTCTCCCCCCTAACAGCAACAACTGCCTCGCTCGCTCTGCCTGCCTGCCTGCCTGCCTGCCCGCCCCATGAGACTCTTCCCTGCGGTCGGACCGACCCCACAGGTCGAGGTGAGCAGCAGCAGAAGCACTAGCACCAGAAAGGTGGCTGGATGCTCGCACCCAATGGCGAACAATTACGTTATTCGATCGATTAATGACTAGCCCCGTAATATATGAGAGTTATGCTCGACTGATGAGACTCCTAGCGCTGACCCCACCCCCAACCCCCAACCTCCGGCCCTAGAGCGCGCGGATCCTGGTCCCTAGCGCTCTCGCTAGCTCCGGGCTTCCTTCATTCTCTCTCTCGGCCACACGAGCAGCTAGCAAATTCCTGGCTCCGGTGCTTGCTTGCTTTACTTTCCTTGCATCACTTTGCTTGCTTCATTCATTCGTTCACGAAATGCATGCACTCAAGCGTTACTTAGCGTAGTGCTGATCGGCTGTAAGCGAAGCCCAGCCGCAATTCCTGCTCTCCCGTCGCGGCCACACTCTCTTCATGTCGTCCACATGACCCCGATTTTCGCATTCCGGTCGTTTGGGGGCGCCCGAATCACGTGCAGCTGTACAGAAGGAGCTTAGCCTCGTAGGTATATCAATGATCAGCCGTAATAGCGGTTTCTATCTGGAGTACAGGCCCGAGCGTGTACAATCACAGAGAGATCTAAAGGTCGGTATTCTATGGTACTAGCATCGTTGCACTGCACAGATTTGTACGATGTTGCGAGTCGGAGATATGTGAAAGCAATCGAAGGTGCAGGATCCCAACAGATCATGGGATCGAGATCAAAGACGAGACCCAAGCACGGACGGCACGAGGCGACGAACACATTTGTACTCGTTCTCACAGTGCACGCGTTCGAGTGTTGAAATCCATGAATCGGAAGCGCTTATTATTGTATGACAAGTATGGCGATATTTCGACGATGTCTAGCACATCTCGCGGTCAACCGCCTGATTCTTTCCCTCGAATTGATTAAGCACTCTCTCTCTCTCTCTCTCTCTCTCTACCGCGCCTGTAGGTCCTCCTATCCTATATTTACATACACAATGTCCATCACTTCTCTCCACCTTCACCTCCTCCTCTTCTTCTTCTTCTTCTCCTCCTCCATCTACAGCTACTGAGTTCGACCTATCATCGATCCGGCCCATGGAGCTCAGATCATGTGCATCAATTTCTTCTTCCCCTTCTTCTTCTTCTTCTTCTTCTTCATCATCATCATCATCATCTTCGTCTTCGTCTTGTTGAACAGTTCCCCCTGTGTTCGCGCGATTGGCGAGATATAGGACATAGAGAGTATACAAACTCGGGATGCTGTCAGGATTGGGACTGCATCCGCGAATTCACAGTGGTATATCGTAGAATGTGATCACTCACAACATGGGGTGCTAACAATTCTATCTATAAGCTTGAAAGAAGTTGGGAGGGGGTTGGGAATCACGATTCGGTGCTGGCCTAGCTAATCAATCACTCACGCGAGCACGCACGCTTCAGCCACCGTATGGCGGAGGGTAGCGATTCTTCTTGGCCACCGTCTTGCTGTTGCCCGGCCGGAACTCGTTGCCTATGGGATTGGGCCCCGCCGGATTTTTGTGCAGCAGTTGGAAGCCCCACGCCCGGCCCCCATTCACCCCCGACCCGTATTGGACTTGGTTCATGTCCACCGTCGTAAGACTCGTGCTCGTGCTCGTGCTCTTGCTGCTGCTGCTGCTGCTGGCGGTAGCACTTCCGTGGACGACAGGACTACCAAATCGATATGCACGATGATATTCCTGCATGTACGACAACTCTCGCGTTAGTCGCCACTCATCATTTGGCCCCGATTGGCCATGTATCTAGACCCTGACCTCGACCCCGACCCCGAGCAGCAAGCCCATGATGATGGGCGGCTGGTCATGATCAGCACGGGAAATAGATCCGAGCTCGATTTCTCTCCTTCTGAGATCGACGTGTACGTCCCCGTACAGCCAACCTTCTCAGAAGGTCGGTTGGTCGGTCTGCTCTGGATGGCCAGATTATTCCTGCTTGGCAAGTCTCGATCATACACTTGCGGGCACATGCATAGGATCGAGGTCGTCATCCGTCCGACCGACCGACCTACTTCACAGGTCGATTCGAACGCCGCGACTCATTTCTGACCGAATTTGAAATTCTGTTATAAACCTCCGACGACGACGACGACACCTGCTGCGGATCTGAGTTCGTGATTTCGTCGATTCTCAGAGCCATCGGAAGGATCCAATACAAAGTCAAAATTCGAGAATTCTCGAGCACGTGCATGCAATCTTTACATCGAGCCCAGATTTGGGCGAATCTCCACGGGTTGAGTCGAATTCCTCACCTCAGCTGTCGGAGACGGGGGCTTGCGAGCCTGAAGCATCTGTTCGCGCTGTATAGGAGATAGAGGAGGCGGCTGCAGTGGTTTCGGTGGAGTCTGGAGCATGGACATGACCAATGAGCTCATATGCGAACCTGGACAGTGGCATCAGTCAAGGAGTCAGTCGAGCGTGAGGGATATGAGTCTACGGGGCTCTAGCACGCACAATTGACATGAAATTCAGATATATCTGCACCATGGCATTCCAGCTGAGCACGGAGCTGGCGATTGCTCACGAGCACCAATTCGAAGATAATAATAATGAGCGGCGCTGGGGATTACTCTGAAGAGGACGACCGCATTCTGTCATAACCGCCAATGTTAAAACCAAGAGCATCCGCAAAGTCAAGGCACCCATGGCGTGCACACGGAGACGAGGCAGCAGCACCAGTGCACACGCGAGTGAACGACTGATTCAGAGGCTCGGCTCCTTCCGAGGCAGGACCGGCGAAATTGTGAGAGTCGAGCATGCGCAGATTCGGATGTGGAGAATTGAGCGAGATCTCTTCAAACGAATCCTCTCCCACCCGCCATCCCCCCTTCCCCTCTCTAGCACGATACGATAGTGACAGTATATGTTATAACCGAGAGTGCTCAGAGATGAGCAGGACCGAACGCCGCCTTCAGTGAATATTGGGCGATTGTACTCCGACCACCAAATCGTGGTGATGCGAGGAGTACGCCACAGGGCTGGAGATGACAAATCCCAGCAGCAGCAGCAGCAGCAGCGGTGGCAGACGAAGGTACAGCCAGAGACAGAAGGCCGGATGAGAGCGCGAGAAAGAGAAAGAGAGAGCTGAGCTGAGCAGGAGTGGAGACGAGAGTGCTGCGACGTGAATGCGGGAGAGAGGAGAGGAGGGGAGGGGGATTGGATGCAATCTAAAAATAGGTGCAGCAGGAGCTAGGCAATGCAGCACACGAAGACGTCCAGTGACAGATTTGTGTTGTTATGGGGATGGAATGTGTAGGCCTGCAATGGAACTGCACTGCAGGCACGAGATGAGATGAGATGAGATGAGAAGAGATGAGAGAAGAAGTGGGCAAGGAAGGGAGTTAGGAAGGAGTCTTAAAAGATGCCGATGGCGAAGGACTCAGGAGAAAGAGAGTGAGTGAGTGAGAGAGAGGAGGAGGAGGAAGAGGAGGAGGCAGGCAGGCAGGCAGGCAGGCAGACAGACAGTTGAACCGAGAAGCCGTGATAGAGAGAAGCCGTCGGTCGACCAGAACAGAACAGAGCTGCAGCAAGTGGAGTCCAGACTCGCCTGTAGAAAGCTCGGCCGACGAGCGATTGTTGTGGCGTTTGGAGTGAGAAGTCACTGGAGACACACACGATTATAAGTAAGCCAGAGCGAGCGCGATGAGTGTACTATTCGTAGGCTTTCTCGCCCCGTCCCTCCCCCGGCTCGGTCCCTCCTTCTCTGACGATGCAAGTACCACTATCAAGTATCTGAGTAATCTACTCTCACTGCCCCCCTCCCCTTCTTCACCCCGGGCCCCCTCCCTCCCCCGTCCCCTCCTCGCCCCTCCCCTCCCCCCCCCCCACACCCTCGGACGACGTCCTTGAGCAGTAAAAAGTGGTCCTCTCTCTTCCCGTCCGCTGGCTGTCTTGTCTCCCACTCGCCCACCTGTGCACCCTCTGCGAAGCTCACCCCTCCTCTTAGATCTCCCCCTCCGCCTTCTGCTCTCTCTCTCTCTCTCTCTCTCCAGAGGCCCAAATATTTTTTTGTCACGATTTCAATTGGCCATCGACGATTTATTCAGCCAGCACCAGTTCAGACCGCCTGACCTTAGCGTTCGCTTAAACAACCCCTTCATTGTGTCTCGTGCCAGCTCTATTCATCCTGTGACGACCACTGCGAGTCATCTGGCTCCAGTTTCACTTGTCCTGGTTTTGTCTCGGTGGTTAACTTTCTCCATTCCAGTCCTACTCGTCCTCCCCCAGCTGCATTGCTTGCTTGCTTCCTCTCGGACACTCGCTCGACCTATTCTACGAGCTACGGGACGAGCATCTAGCCGGTCTTCTTCGTCTTTCTCTACTGGATAATCATCTGTAACTCGTAGCATGTACACGGCTGCTGCTGCTTCTGCTGCTTCTGCAGCTGTAGTAGTGCGTACGAAAAGGTGGTGGTTATGTTATATATGTATTTTTCTCTATTTCCGACGTGTATGTATCTTCCGCTTCCTTCTCTAACTCTCGGAAGATCTCGATCATCCCTCTCAGACTCCTCTCTCTCTCTCTCTCTCTCTCTTTCTTTCTTTCTTTCTTTCTTTCTTTCTATCGACTGGCAACGCAGCCCCACCCCACGGTTGGTTTGATCCTTCAGTTGCTTGCCAGCATTCCATTCTGACGATTTGCTCGCTTCTGTAGCTCATGCTCACTCAATCTAGAGCTAGATGCTACTCCACCCAACCCTGCCCGGGGCTTCTCCCGATTTAAGGACAAGTCCTTGACCTCGCGCAAGTTTCGTTACCACCGATGTGTATCTATCTCTTGGGTATTACTCCTCCTCTGCCTTTCGCTCGGCTCTGAACAGTCTGACGCACAGGCTCAGGCCGGGGAATAAAGAAATCCAAAGGCTCCAACAGCCAAATTTGATGTGAATTTCGTACTGTACTCGGGGGAGGGTTTGTTCCATGGTGATCAGGCTGCTCTCGTCTTGCGAATACTGGAGCAGCATGGGGCATCGGGTTGGGGCTGGGCTCAATTCGTTGATCGGTATGTGGGCCAAAACGGAGCAGGAAAAGAGCGAAGATTCGGGGCAAAATATTTGCGCCAGGATGACAGGCTGGGTGGCTGGCGGATGGCGGATGGGGGACAGAGAGTATGCTCCAATCCAATATACGGCCACGTGAAGCCGAGGCCTCCACGGCGGGAGGCGCGGTGCCCGGGGCCCAGGCACCAACGAGCCACGGGCCACGGGGCGGGTGCGCGCTCTGGCGAAATTCGTTGACTTTGCCCCCGCCCCCGGCCCATATCGCCAATCGCCACCCCCGCCTCGGCCCTAACGGTTTTGCACTCTGAGTCGCCTAGGCTTCGCCAAATCGCGAATATGCCTCACTACTCCTCCGTGGCTACAGTAGGGGTTTTCAGTTTCCGCCTTCTCGCATCTGCGCCCCAGAAGGGCGACAGCCGGACACACTTCACATTCCCGGTTTCATCCTGATTCACACCGCCCCCCGCTCGCTTTTCCAGACTTTTCGCCCATTTCTTTTATTCTTCCTTTTTCCCCCGCCCCTCCTCGCCCTCACCGGAATCTACCCCCAGACGGCAACCTCGCGTAACCGCAGGCTTAACTGCGGTGAGCCCAGACAAGTCCCTCCCTGGTCAGACTGACCTGACCCGACCTGACCCCTGCGCGAGCCTGGGTCGCGGGAGGCTTGAGATGTTGCTGGCGTCGGGTGACGCCACCAGAGCTTATCTGGCAGTCCACGTGGCAGATGTACGACTCTCCTTCGATCCTCTCTACGCGAGGGGCGGGGGGGGGGGCGCATGTTTGCGTCTCGAGGATTTGGTTTGGTCTGGTCCGGTCTGGTCTGCCCGACCACTGTCAACAGTCTCGAGTCCATATTCATACGGTCCAGTACAGTACGAGTACAGTATTTATATGGACGACGGTGTATCATGTGCTTCGAGCAGTCAAATAGTACTCGTACTCGTGTACATACGTACCGATGTCTTATCTTTTCACGAATCAGAAACTCAAGTCCTCGAGTTGTCTTTCGGACAGAACGTCGTCTCGGCTCTTACCACGTTGCCCCCGAATCCGTACCAGCCAGATTTCCCGACGTCTCCTAATCCCATTTACGCGCTCATTAAAGGCCGATCCGTTCGAAGCAAGCGTTTGCGTTCGCACATTTCTCCAAGTTCTTTATTCGAGAGGGGCATGAATGAGCCTTTCGTTGATCTCGGCGCATGCTCGCTCGCACCGAAGCCTAGGCTTCATGAAAAAATGGGCCGAGCTGGAACAGCGGAACTCTCACATTCACTCCCACATTCACTCCCGAGCTGCTCTCGAGAACTACCAAGTCTGGCAATTTCGGGCTTCTCGTTTCCGAGATCTGAGATAGAGGTTCGTCCGGGATTCATGAGACCCGCATGTGGCTCGACGGGTGCAGATGTAGAGCAGTGCGATCTTATGATGGCGAGCGAGCTCCTCGTCCACATGGTCGTGGGGATTTTCGTCGGTTTTGCCATCTCTCCTCTTTCTTTCCTCGTGTTTATTCATCCGTTTGTGCGCAAGGTTCGAACTACTCTTATTCTCCTCCTATTCGTTGTCGTGCATTAGGGTAGGGTTAGCCATCGCATCGGTGTGTGTGTGTATATATGCTAATGCAGAGATAAATTCACGCCCTTTATCGAGTGAAGTCGTTGGAATGCAGAACGATGAGTTTGAGGCTTGTTCATCGTGGCCTTCAATGTCGATAACATCTGTGGGTTTAGATTCATTTTTAAGAGGAAACTGGGGAATCCCTCCCTCGGAAACGCTGCCCAGAAACATTCATAGACAGACAAACCAAATAATAATTTACCTGCCCCTCCATTAGGATATCTAAAATATTATTTGATCTTGAAAAAGAATGTGCACCGATACAAAAGAGGATTCTTAACGCAAATCGCAGTTCGCTAAATAAGGAAAACATGTTATTCTCCACCCTTTACTTTAGGTTAAAATAATCGATGACAGTGGACAGAACGAGGAGGAGGAGATCTGGAAAACATCTCCATCATTGTGTAGCTGAAAGTGGGAACCAAAAGTCAAGAAACCTCCACGAAAAAGAAACTCCAGGAATCAAAACCGCACGCGTCTCAAACAGATAGATTGGGTAGCCATACTCACACACATTTTTTATACATACACACACACACACACTCTCTCTCTCTCTCTCTCTCATCATTGGAAATGTGGCATCCCTGCATGCTGTTCTTCGGTGATTCCAAGTTGCTACACGTGATAGATACGTCCTCTGGGACTAAAAAAATTGCAGAAATCTCCACGAATGCTCATACGCTTCGACTGAGGATGATATGCACACACGACACTCAGAATCCATCTCGCAAAAGTCGAAACTATTATAAGAGCCTGCGTCGCCCGGGACTCAAACTTTGGCAACTTCTGCGGAGGGAGCTCGAATCTCAGCAGAGGGTCGAGGGGCCATATTTTCCTATTGTTTAAGGCGGAGGTCTCAGCGGCTAATTATTATTATTAGTAGGAGATTATAGAGTGGAGTGCTCGACCGGCCGGAATAATATTGGAGCTCTGACCATACACGACTCAAGGTTTGGTGCTGGGGTTGTGTTTCGAGAAATGATCACTGACTTCGCGCAAAGTGGTTCGTCTATGGCCGATTAGGTGACATAGAATTCGATAAACAATTGAGGCCGATGTTCGAGAGGAAGAACTCACCTAACCGGGCGATTAAACAACTGATCTGGGCTTGGATTACGTAGATTCGCGGAGATTTTACCGGGGCGGATCTTGTTGCGCATCATGTCCAGCCTAGGGAACCTTTGGTGTCATAGTAGTCGAGATGATGGCTTCATTATCCTGCGAGGTGGCTCGTATCATATATATTAACGAGCTGATCAGCGCCTGCCTGACGACGACGACGACGACAAGGCCAACCCAAAAGAAGAAAATTTGCAGTGGACAAAAGATGCATGCCCCCAAAGGGCTGGGCCAAAAGAAGAAAATTTTTTATAGGCAAATGTTGGCATGTCACCGCGAGATAGGGTATAAAACTATCTTGAGATCTTAATCTTGGTATGCTGGAGGAATCTTTTCCTTTTATGGGGTGCCTTAGCTGCGGTTTGGGCCTTTCGTTGTCTCTGTCGATTGTCATTTTCACTTTCTGATTTGGCTGCAATACATTTCGGGGTGAAACTTTCTCCATCGCTTGGCATTTTACTGCTCTAGACTCTCTGCCTCATCGAGGTGCAACTACCAATAAATTCTTTCATGACACTTCCATTTTTCTCTGACCCCATCTCTAGCTCTCTCGAAGGTCCGGCCACCAATGCCAAGCAGTCCTTCCTGGCACTCTCTCAGCATTCATTTGCTTTGTTTTTGAAGTTCCCAATTTCTGAGGGTACAGCTGGGCTTGGAGTTTGTTAAATATTTGGATCTTTTCAAGGTTTAGGTTTGCCCGAATAAAATATCTTATACTTTAATACTTCTCTTGCACGTTTCCACTCCCTTCCTTTTCTAATGCACTCTCTTTTAAATATTCTTTCCGCTTGGCTTTTGGGTTCACATCTGCGTGTGTGTAACCTCCAATTATTAACTCCCGTTTACATTGATGGAGTTCCT